TCCCTCGGAGTTCCTGGTTTGAAAGAACCGGATGAGGCTTTATAATGGAATAGAGCCTTTAAGAACATAACTGTTTTGAGATAGGATTCTTCGCCTGGTTTCATGAGCAGTCGATAAAAACTGAAGACATCTATGCAAGGACTGCTTCTCTATTTCTCGGATCTTCAACAAATCTTGAGATTGACAGAAATCCAGATAAAGTCTGAATGTGGTCAGAAAGCTCAGCATACAGCCTCTCCTGAACAAAAGAATCTGTACTTTCAGTTTGTATTCGCTGAATACATTCTAAGGTATTGCTAAAAAACTGTAAAATGTCATTTTCATTGCTACTTACTGCAAAAATGAAAAACTGCACTTGAAAACAAAGCAAGAAGCCTTTCCATACCATCATGGTGTAGTTCTGATATAGCAAGCCAAGAAAGAAGCACAGATAGTCTTGCCCATGTATTTCCTAGTTTGATCGCTTCCTGTTAAGAGGAAGAACTTCCTGTGTAACAGTATACCTTGTGTTAAATATATGTGTATTTCTGAGTGAAAATATAAGTATGTGAGAGTGAAAATACATGTATGTAAAAGAGGAATATGTGTGTGTATGTGCAAGTAGAATATATGTATGTGCGAGTAGAATATATGTATGTGTGAGTGAAAATGTATGTGTGTGAAAATGTATGTGTGTGAAACGTCGAGAATACATAATGTCTTATACGGCCCCTCATAGCAGACTTTGAATCTTACTAAACTGCATTAATAACACATTAAAGTCTAATAATTATCTGACTGATTTATTAATTTCTAACAAGCTCAACATGACGTAGTGCTTCTTTCTAGTTGATCATCACCTCCACATCTGGAGAAGTGCGGTGATGGTGCATCAAAGTGTCACATGATTTGTGGCGTCCTGTGGTTCCCTAATGGACTTGTTTTACATTAGTGTTCATTATATTTCACAATGACTGAGTGGATTTTGACTCATAATATTTTATGGATAAATGGACATTAACCCAGAAGCTGAATAGTGCCCACTACTGTCTTTCTGACTAGGAGAGCACATGGAGGTGGCCCAGTGTGATCTGGTTTGTTCACACTAGCCTGTTCTGAGGCCCTGGCCACAAGGCCTGGTCTGATGGGCCGTTTAGTTGTCTATCAAGATGGGTGTGTGGTATCTGTTCTTATGGTGTCTTGTTGCTTGTTCTCTGTTGTTTTTGTCCCTTACTGCTGCTGGAACACTGGAATTTCCCCACTGTGGGATCAGTAAAGTAAAGTAAAGTAAAGTACCCTACCCTACCCTACCCTACCCTAGCCGTGAATACCGAGCTGTGTGCCTCTAAAACAAAGCTTGTGTGTTATGGATTTCAGTCAGTTTTATATTTCTGCAGCACTACTTGTGTTACTGAGTTTGACATTCAGCTGACTGCTGGGTTTCGCTCCGCCCAACGGGAAATTCCGCTTCCCGTCTTCCTTCACGTCCGCAGGTCCGATGTAAGTGTCAGAGCACGGAAGACATTTTTATATTCATCGTAGAGACTAAGACAACCTACTGAAAATGAGCGGAAGAGGCAAAGGTGGTAAAGGACTCGGTAAAGGAGGCGCTAAGCGCCACCGTAAAGTCCTCCGTGATAACATCCAGGGCATCACCAAACCCGCCATCCGACGTCTGGCTCGCCGTGGCGGAGTGAAGCGTATCTCTGGCCTGATCTATGAAGAGACCCGTGGGGTGCTCAAGGTCTTTCTGGAGAACGTTATCCGCGATGCCGTCACTTACACCGAGCACGCCAAGAGAAAGACTGTGACCGCCATGGATGTGGTCTATGCGCTCAAGAGGCAGGGCCGCACCCTGTATGGCTTCGGAGGCTAAATCTGGTTCCTCATCCCTAAAACACAAAGGCTCTTTTCAGAGCCACCCACATGGTCTAACAGAGCAGCTCCTGATGCATTCATGCTATTAAGACATCCTTGGCACCTGTCAGACAAAAGTAGACTAAATGTATTAATTTGACATTAGAAATGCATCCATCACATTCAGCTTTTATTTTTTTGGTACAGCTGTAGCCTATAAAGACAATCACAACCAGTTTTTATTAGATAGAAACTTTATTACAGACTCAAGGTCCAGACTCTGAACAATAAAAAATAAAAACCACCACAAACCAACAACCAGTCCACTTTACTACTGTTGGAGGCAAGTATACCAGTGTCTCCAGAGTACTGATGTATATCGCATGTCACTATATGCAGTACTAGTCCACAATAAAACAATGTGGTTTTCAGAGCTATTCAAGTGACATAAATTTATACATCAGGTTTCTTAAAACAGCTGATCAAGTACTAACTCGTAGTGACACAAACAATTCACTGACACTCACCCATCTAGGCCTTTTCAGTAATAGTCTCAAGGCATCATTATAACCATCAGTCAATTTCTGCCTTTTTTGTAATTAGACCATAGGTGGGCAGTGTTATTGTTTCTGCCTGTATATAATTTGAGACATTTAGGGATTTACTCAAAAGATAAAAGTTAAATTAAAATACAAAAGGTCTATCTGTACTGACACCAGGTAAAAACATTAGACATGAGGACAAGAACCATGTACACAGAATATTGCTGGTTTAGTTATGGCAGCCTAGCCTTTGCAGGGTCTATAGGAATTGAGTTAACATTGGTACATATACAGAAGTTGCCTCAAAAATTAGACACCAACAAGCTTCCACCTCTTTATCCAGTTACATAACCCACATACACAAACCCTTCACCCTTACAGATTTGTACAGTATTCTATTTTTATTCCTGTTTATCTTATTTCACAATGAGCATTCCTTTGTCTGTGCTGTTTACTGCCAGTTAATACTGCTTATTTTGTTATATTACACACAGCCTTACATTGTTTTACTTGCCCCTTGCATGGGGATATCTACATGCACATTGCGAGCTGATGTACCAGAGTCTAATTCCTCGTGTGTCCTACACACCTGGCCAATAAAGCTGATTCTGATTGTTAGAGACAGCAATGCCACAGAAATGGTCCAGGAGCACAGACATTCACAGCGTGTGTGCAGAAGGGGGAAACAGTGCTCAGTCCTCTGAACCGTGATCCAGGTCAAATCCAGTGGACCCAGAGACGGGCAAGTCGGTGCTGCTGTAGGATCAGACAAGCTGTGAGCAGACTGAGCAGGAAAGTTCTTATTCTCCCATAGGCTTTATGTAGCTGATCACTTGCATCATAGAAAGGTTTATCATCCAGCTTGGGTCTCCTTTATTTTACTGTTTCTCAGTTAAAGCTGCAGTCCACCAACACATTTACCATGACTAGTAACTGAACTAGATGTTTCAAATCTACAGACCTACTTCTCCAGGCTTCGTGGGTTCAGCACCTGCTGCTATGTAAAGCCTCACTGCTACTATCTAAACCCATCCTGTCCTTAAACT